TGCGTGATTACTGAAATTCGAACACTTAATGAGGGACGATATAAGGAATAATAATTGAATGACCTTTCAGTGGGAACAGCTGGTGGAGTACGTTGTAATGATGTGAAATGTCAACATAAGGCCGTGAGTGCATATTGCAGTATACACGAGTTGTTACGTCATCACCACCGTTGTAGGTAAGGTCACTTAGATCTAAAGCTGATACTTGATAATACCTTATAACACGCGTGAGAGAGATTTGGTTGTATAATGTGTGTGTGTGTGTGTGTGTGTGTGTGTGTGTGTGTGTGTGTGTTTGTGTACTATACTTATACGAGGACATAATCTCTTTTCATACAATGTAATACAATCTAATATGTTTTAAATATATAATGTGATACACTCGGTAATACACAACATCAGTATTACATGAAATACATATTCACAAAGATCTAATGAAAAAGAATTCGGTCATGAGGTTAATAGACAAGAAAGAATTTGAACGTTACATAAAGAAAAACCTACATTCTTTTTACAGTTTATATTAGGTGAAAAATAAAAGAGTGAGCGAACACAACCTGGTGAAAGAAGCAATAAATAAGTAAAGTTTAATCTCCTAGTCAGGTGAAGGTCGGGGGTGGTCTAGTAAACAGAGACAAAGAATTTATATCCGAAGGAACATTCAATTACACACATAGTTCAGAGACAGGAATTATATTTTATTAAGTGTAAATCTGTATAATTTTAGATGTTCTAATTTTTACCCTGTAACTGCTTGAGCGGACCGAGTCATCAAATGTCACTCACTAAGTCTTATCTCGAAACAGAAACTTTCAAATGTTGGATTTTTTTTTAAAGTGATAGCTGAGATAAGGATGTCTGTTGGTGTGTTCTCATCAGTAAAATGTTGGAACAAAATCTTGCGTGAAAAAGGTCAAATCAAGAACTAAACACAATAATATACACCTGTGACTATAGTTACTTTCCGTGTTTCGTAATAAAGAAGAATAAGAATAAGAATAAGAATAAGAATAAGAATAAGAATAAGAATAAGATTAAGAATAAGAATAAGAAGAAAAAGAAGAAAAAGAAGAATAAGAAGAATAAGAAGAAGAAGAAGAAGAAGAAGAAGAAGAAGAAGAAGAATAGGAATAAGAATAAGAATAAGACGAAGAAGAAGAAGAAGAAGAAGAAGAAGAAGAATAAGAAGAAGAAGAAGAAGAAGAAGAAGAATCTTCATGACATTAAAAAAATTAGCTAGTGACACTTCATAAAACAATATCTAAAAAATTAAGCCACCACAAAATACGAGTGTCATGGAATCCTCTCGTATGTGATTTAAAGTTAAGTTTGTGAAGTAAGAAAAGAAAGTGAAGAAACAGGTCACACTCCCCCAGGAAATCCTGTTTTAAGGTTTTTCTATTCGACGCCAGGAGAAAAATGTTTAAAGAAATCCGTTTTCTGTTTTCTACGACTGAACTGTGGAGGTGATTTTTTCTTTTTCAGCTGATCTTTACTGAAGGTTGTAAATATAAGCGTGAACTTTTATTTACATATAGATCTAGAGACACTTCTATAACTACAGTATATATACAGTACATACAAACATTCTCAGACACACACACACACACACACACACACACACACACACACACACACACACACACACACACAGATATAAAGACATATTCACATGTCTTGTGTTTTGTGAAAAAGGCAACATCGGGATAAGTGAAATACATTTCTTTTTTTTTATAATACTTAACAAGTTTCTATGTAGGGACGATTATGTAGAAAGTAGATAGTCATAACACATAGTCTACGAATAGGATGGGTACTAAACTAGCAAAGCTGACATAGTTATTCTACCCTAACCTAACCTAACAATATCTAATCTATTGGTAAAGTTTGGTAATCTTAAGATAGCAAAGGGTGTCGTAAATAAAATAAAATAAAGTTTTCTAATTTTTGGACTAATCTCTATGGTGTTGCAGCAACAATGACGAGAGATTATCCCTATGGTGCAATGATTTCTTTGTGTTTTAAGGTTTAATCGGAAAATTACCCTCAAAACATAAAATATATGCCCAGCTATACACACTAACCGAGAGGGTCCACTCGTCGCATATACTGTACGTAGCAATACTATGAATACTGTCGTGGCAGTTTCTCATTCCTCTGTATACAAAAGTTGTCGTGTGTATCATTTCCTGACTCATACAAGGAGCACGAACGTAAGCCTGATCTCAATCACTGCAACCCCTTACACTATGCATATTGCAACACTTTTTGTTGACTTTTTCATTGTGTGTATACTGACCCTTCCTTTATTATACAACCAAGCTTATGGTAATAGTATTGCAAATGTTTGGGCTGCTTTAAGTCAACCGAATGTTTAACTCTCCTTTCTTCCCTGATAATGACTTTTCCCAAGTAAGGCGATGGTCAATTCTCTATTACCCCTGCTGAAGAACTTTATTATGACATGTCAAGATATTGAAGTATTGAATATGTATATAGTTTACATAGTATGATATAATAATATATTTCATCTAAGAGTACAAAAGTAATGACAAATAATATAAAACGAAAATATAATGCATTAGTAAATAACTGACAGCTCTCACATAGGATGAAAGCTATTTTCAGACCACTTGGGCCAAAAACAAATTACAAAGGTGTTAGAACGAATGAGAAACATGACATAGGGTTTGTGTTATGGAGATAAAAAAAAATAATGGTCAAACTTCACACTGAATAAATATGTAACCACTTTGGTGAGATCCCCGCATTTTATGAATTACTTATGGCTCCCCCAGACGATTTTATTCAGGTTAGGGAAACCTCCACCAGCCAAAGGGTTTAAAATGGAATTTTGACGAAGATTGATCATGAAAGAAGGCTCATGATGCTCTTATATCTCCAGGAGCTGTAAGCCGAGGGTACTGTAGTCTATATAAAGGTTTCAGGAGAGGAGTCTTAGAGCACTAGTTGCGTGTGTCAGGTTGGCGGGATAGAAAGTCATCACATGATAATTATGTTGCGTAAGATAAGGTACAACAGCAATAATATTTTCAGTTATCACCTGCCATTAACGCAAGAATTCCTGGACGATCGTCATTTTTTTTATAATAAGTTGCTGGTAACCATTACACACAGGTATTCAGTTAAGTATAAAAGGCGAAAAATATAATTCCAGATCGCTGAAAATATTCCGCAAGAATTCTCTAGATGGCTGTTAGAATATATACTATTTCATTACTAAATTAGATACTTTAAAAGAAGAAAATTAGATTAAACATTACAATAAAAGTTTTTATAGCACATATTAATGGAAAATATAACTACTACTCATAGCTGGCTGATAGCGCTGCCGACTGATAACACCGGAGGCAGCAGCATTGACTGCGGCCCAGTGAGCGGGTGATAAAGTCTACGGAAGCTACACGCCACAGTTCAGTACCTCATCGCATTCGTTGTGTGTGAATATTCATTTGATTATAATTTTGAACTATTATCATCATCATTATTATTATCGTTAATTATATTACTTTTAATACCAGTAATATTAACAATATTAACGGTAATAATAATAATAACAATAATAATAATAATAATAATAATAATAATAATAATAATAATAATAATAATAAATTATAATAAATAAATAATAATAATAATAATATATTATAATAAATAATAAATAATAATAATAATAATAATAAATTAAAATAAATAAATAATAATAATAATATATTATAATAAATAATAAATAATAATAATAATAATAAATAAATAAATAAATAATAATAATAATAATAATAATAATAATAATAATAATAAATTATAATAAATAATAAATAATAATAATTATATATAATAATAAATAATAAATAATAATAATAATAAATTATAATAAATAAAAATAATAATAAATTATAATAAACAATAAATAATAATAATAATAATATTATTAATAATAATAATAATAATAATAATAATAATAATAATAATAATAATAATAACAATAATAATAATAAATAACAAATTATATGTCAAACTATTCTTTTTCAGTATTGAATTATCTCCTACAGGTCTAGTGCCCACTGAACCCCACAAAAATTCTCGCCAGACCTTTCCCTAGTTACACTGATATCGCTTTAACGTATGTTCATGTTTGTACTATTGTTTGTGGTTCTAGTGACTCTCTGGTCCCATTTGTCTTGTCTTTTTAATTAAACGTTCCGGAACTTTGCTGTACTGATCCTCTGGTGTCATAGTCCACATAGGAATAAATCAGTGCTTTTGAAGTTGGTGCATAAATTTTAGCACTGGAATGTGGGTGGGTACACGGAATTAAATCGTCTCCCATTTATTCTTAATGTTGTTTTCAGTTTCTCGATCTTAGAAATGCAAGCAAGTTGATGATAAAAAGACACACAGTAGATACCCCTCCCCAGCCACCCACCTGAATTCCAGTATATATTTTAGGGAGTTCGAAGTTTCTTTTACACTAGATTTTGGCTCATAAATGTACCAAATACATTCATCTCTGTGCACACAATACTCATCATCATCATTATCATCATAAATAATAATAATAATAATAATAATAATAATAATAATAATAATAATAATAATAATAATAATAATAACAATAATATTATAATAATAATAAAAATAATAATAATAATAATAATAATAATAATAATAATAATAATAATAATATTATTATTATTATTAATAATATTAGTTGCCCCTCGTGCTCGAGGATGGCCCAAGGGCCATCTAGTCGTGAATTTGTTTAGGTGTAATAGCTGTCGCCAACACAACAACCACACTCCAAGTTAACGAGTTGCATGACCCAGTGTCAAGAAATAAACTGAGAGGACCGGACAGCTCGCCAACTGCACTGGCGAACCATTACCCCGGAACACGATCTGCAAATGGAATAACATCCAGGTCCCCAATTATTGCTCGGTAGACAGAGGCAAATGGCATAAAGAAACCTTGCCATAGTTTCAACCTGCCCGGGAATCGAACCCGGGTCCTTTTGCTTGCGAAGCGAACATACTGACCATTACACCACAGGTCGCCCGCCACCTCCACACAGCTAAAAGAAAAAAGAAAGCCTCGTGATGTGGAGGAACCTGGGAAGTATCCCCTTAAGAACAATGTTATTTTATTTGGATTGTGATGTAATACAGATGCCCGTTTACCTATTGATATTGTTAATCCAGGGAAGAAACTATGTAACCTGAGAATACAATTTTTGTGCTAAGGTGTGTATGTTTGTGGGTAAGAGCATTGTTATGCGTCTTTGAATGATGTACAGGAAGACAACGAGAGAGAGAGAGAGGATCAAAATCGTTAATGATCACAAAATATAAACCATTTACTGTAAGCGATACAAAGAGAACCAGTAAATCTAGACCCCAGTTAAACAGCATCCCATCCAATCATATAGCGACCCATCGTATCATACATCATTCCACCGAATCATACAATGACCCATCCTAATATGCATCATCCCACCCAATCATGCAGCATCACACAGTCAAATCCAATCCTCTCGAGTCCCAGAATCCCAAACTATTTCCTCGTAGCCAATCTGCTCCAATCTCCAATCCTCCGTGACGGCCGTGGCAGCACCCGTAAAGACGCTGTTTTGTGGAGGTGAATGGGATGGATTTCTCGGGTCGGTGGGTGAGAAAACTAGATGGAGCGACCTAACTTGACCGTGTGTGGCAGCTTGTGCGTCTCCCACACACCCACGTAAAGGTTTCTTGCTGTTGCCTACCTGGGTGTTTCTCTCTTTTCTTTCTAGTTTCAATCATTTTTTCTAAAGTGTTTTAGTTGTGTTTTTTTACTGATTTTTTTTTTGTCCTTTGTGTGCCGTTTTTTAGCGTTTTGTACGGTCTGTCACCAATTTATTGCGACGTCTACGAATTTCTCAGTGTTTATCATTGTATTTTTACCAGCTTCTCTCTGTTTGTCTCACCTTCTACTTTCTCACTGGTCTTTCACAACTTGTACCAAAGTCTTCACCAATGTTCAGCAGTTTCTCATAGTCTTCACGGTTTACTGCTACTTTTACACGGTTCTTATCTCTTTTTTCGCGGTTTCTCATCAACTCCCACTGTTTCTCTCCAGGTTATCAGTATTTCCCACCATCGGTAAACCTCAGAAAGAAGTTAGAACGATGTTTTTTTTTCGGTTTTTTTTTTTACGGGGAATAGCCCACCCGGGCACAGGTCATCGACACACAACGGGGCCTGGGGAGAAAAATAAGTGTAAGGAGAAAAAAAAATAGAAAAGAAAAAGACTATGTTAATCTACACCACGAAGATGCCAGAAAACCAACTTTTTGTAGTGAGACAGATTATAAAAGGATAGAAACACAGAAGAAGGCAGAGCATTACACAGTTTGGCTGTGTGAGGAAAGAAGGAGGTACTAAAACGGGTTATTCTAGTGTGACCGACTTCCACACAGAAATGGTGGGCACCGCTGGCAAGACGAGTGTTACGAGACCACTGCCTTGCCGGCGGTACACAGGATGCCAAATCCACCGAACATTGCCCGTTAAAATACCTGTAAAAAAGAGAGTGAAGCAACATTGCGGCGAAGAGAAAGTGAAGAGAAATCATCGACTTAAGGAGGGGAGTTAATGACACGAAATGCCTTTGATTCCACCCTATCTAACAGTTGGACAAAAGAGCCACCCCAGATATGAGAGCAGTACTCCAAGTTAGGACGAATGAATGAATCCCTTATATACTTGAAGCAACTGCTCAGGAGTGAAGTAGCTATACAACATTCCAAGCTTTCGGGAGGCATAGAGGAAGTTAAGAGGCGTCACTCTATGAAAAAGGGGCAGAAAAACTATATAAGATATCTAAGAATAAAGCAGGAAGGACACTCGCAGGAACAGTGAAGGAAAAATAATAATTATGCAATCAGGAGGCGAGGTGAGGCAAAACACTGTAAAAAATGAGAAATGAGGAGGAAAAGGAAACAGGAATAAAAGTCCAAAAATAAATTAGGAACTGGGGGGGGGAGAGGAATGTTAATACGAGTACACTTACCGTAGTAGTGGTAATAAGATGACGAAGGTATGAAAGGAATGAGTATGTAACATCTGATGTATGAACGAAATATCTAATGAATGAATGAAACATCTGATGTATGAACGAAACATCTGATGAATGAATGAAACATCTGATGTATGAATGAAACATCTGATGTAAAAATTTAAACATCTTATGTATGAATGAAACATCTGATGTATGAATGAAACATCTTATGTATCAATGAAATATGGTGTATAAACAAAGTGTCTTGACACATCCACTTGCGAAATCTACCTGGCACAACATATTCACAAACGACATTTGTAGATGTATTTAGGGGTTAAATTTATTTAAAGGATCCCAGGTCCCACCGAGACTCGAACTCGGATCTCTGGATTCAAAGCCCAGGGTGCTAACCATTACACCATGGGACCGATATGGAGAAAGACGTCTAATCAGAACATGATTAGCATGTTGCGTGGGAACCAGGCGGCCCTCGTGAAGTGCCGGTGACCAGGTGGCGGGTGGGTGTGAGAATTATGGACCTGGTTTGTAAGTGAAATAGGTAATGTGTGAATGAAATGGTGAATGAATTAAATTGATGGTTTAAATGAAATACGTAACGTGCGAATTAAATGCTTTATAAATGAAGCCGCGTTTTATAGACGAAACATCTGACATAAATGACATCTCTGTTTTGAGTACCCGACCGTATCAACATACTGTTTTAGTACCTTTGAGATCTTCAGTACTTACTCTACCATGATCAAACAGGAAATATGCCTGTGTGGCTGTGTTAGCTCGTTACGTGTGAGCGCCTGAGTCAGAACGCTCTTGGTAAACAGGTTGGGCGAGAGTGAGGCGGCGGCATGTGGCTACTCTAATATCAGTGGTCCCATGGTGTAATGGTTAGCACCCTGGACTTTGAATCCAGAGATCCGAGTTCGAGTCTCGGTGGGACCTGTAATATATTAGAAACGTGATTCTTAATATATTAGTGATGTCGACGCATAAATAATAATAGGGAGGGGTTTTATTCAGCAATATGTGTAACGTAATTATTTGCTTTATGTTAATATAAGATAATGAAACCGACTTGTTGTCACAGTTGATGACAAAGGTCTGTTGTACACTATCGTCATGATAGAGTAAAGTGTCTCATCAGTGGTTCTCAGAACGTGCGGGTTCAGGCGACGACCTGGATGACCAGCTCGTACCTGACAACAGCATTACCTTCACCAGGCTTCCCAGTGATGCGCCTGACTGTGCATGATCACGTGACAGGGGGCCATCATGAAAACATCATGACTGCCATTTATACTCAGTAGCCAAGGCAGACAGAGCTAAAAAAAGTGGGAATCCAATTATAGCTTGATAATACACGCGCCTTGAGGTCATTTTTATATAATTAATTTCAACACGATTGTCATTTCCATAAACGTGAGTTACTACTGGTTAAGAATGTTTATTATTATATATACAAAGTTACAACATCCCTCTAGAGCCACAGGTTACACAGGCCACCGATGACGCATTATTTAGTGTAATGTGAATACGTATATGACTGAACACAGGCAGTCTGACTCGTGAACACCAGGCCACACAATACTCTCTATTTCTCTCTCTATTTTTACTTCAGTATTTCATTACGAGTTCTTGTCTGTCTGTCTGTATGTATCTCTCTTTCTTTAATTTTTTCGTCGTTTCTCTCAATTTACGTCTATGATTCTCTCCAATTATTTTTCTAGGTTTCTTTCCAATTCTCTTTTTCTCTTCCCATCTCTCTATCTCCTTCGTTTCTCATCTTCTTGGAGAGAGAGAGAGAGAGAGAGAGAGAGAGAGAGAGAGAGAGAGAGAGAGAGAGAGAGAGAGAGAGAGAGAGAGAGAGGAGGAGGAGGAGGAGGAGGAGGAGGAGGAGGAAGGACTGGTGCCAGGCTGAGGTAGAGTTATAACCCCAGGCGCTCTAATACATTGAGGTGAATATACCTTCAAGACTTTCAAGTGACCGACGGGATATTCAGGAAAAATCTCTCCCCGAAACATCCATCTCCAGTCCTTTCTCCTATTTTCTAAAGAGTAGGATGAATACTCCTAAAACGTTGCTGATGCCAATAGCTTTTAAAGTTTTGTTGCGTTGAAATACGTCTCATACCTTTTTTGTCGAATTTGCATAAGAGATATTTATTCCACACGTTAAATATATAATGGTTATACTAAGTGTTTTTAAACGTACAGTATCTGAAATGTGTTAAACTACCTGTTCTATTTTTTTTTGTATGATAAATGTTTATTCTGGTATTTGAAAGGTTTTGAAATGGTTCTTGTTTTTATACATGTTTTTATGTACTCTAAACGTATAACCTGCTATGATAATTGACTTTAAATATTAATTGTAAGAAGAATATCGTTTTACATTCAACACACACACACACACCAGTACCTGAATTGTTTAAACATATATATTGTGTCGACTCAAGATAGTATGCAAAGTGAAATGATACCAAACGTTGTGATATAACACGGTGTCTGTGAGTCTATTTGTCCACTGCCTATGTTAGCTGAGTTTATGAGTGAGAATGTTTGTTTAATTGTATGTATTGTCATCTCATTTTCTTTTCGCCTTTTCATTTGACTGACATCACTCTCCCTATAATTTCCTCCCTTCTGCGAGGTTTAATTCTTATTGATACAATCCAAACATAACAGGAAGACGAGTGAAGATATACGAAATAGAGAGTTGTATCCATCTACTGTTATTTAAAATATTGTAAAGGGGTGACTAAGAATTCATAATTGCCCGGGATAAAACGCACAAAGTAAAAATCACCCACGGTCGCAAAACATCCACCAATTAGATCAGAATGGGCGCTTTTCCACACTTAGTAAAAACGGCCAAAAATGCATCTTGGACCTAGAAGCTATTGTATGTCTCCAGAAGTAAATCATTAACCCAACACTACAATAATAAGTAAGCATTATATATTGTTTATCATACCTTTATTCCTTTTGGTACATGATTAATCT